GTGTGCCTTGAGCTCTGATTGACTATTGACCAAACACAAATGTTTTATGTAAGAAGACGAGTGCTGTTCCCACACCTAAAGTCAACTGGCCGCCAGGCAGGTACAAAGTGCATATGACCATGCAGATCAATTGTTGAAAACGCAGAATAAATAACAATAAATTTCCTCAATGTTGTAATACAATACTTAGCAGTACTCATGAGTGGTACACAATGCAAACTTTATGTCTGACATTAAAAAACCAACTACCTGTAGAGCAACTCCCCACGGAGTATGTACAGACACTTGAGTTTATTGATCCAATGACATCTCCATGGTGTAGTTACAGCATTCATTTTATTTATTTTGTGTTTTTTTCTGACCTAGCCATAAAATGGGTTCACTGTAAGTTACTTTCCCTTTTCAATTCTAGCTCTGCATTCCAATCATTTTATGCACAAGTGTGAATTTGATTATAAGATATTTTAATTAAAATATATTGATCTGTGGACTGTCGCAGTGTTGTATAGTGATTGTAAAGTTCGTTGACTATCGAGTTCACAGGGTTGCTGTATTAGATCCCACTTTGTAACTGAAGTGGTTGGTAACATTTGAATGCCGATCCATGTCATTGAAATAAACCTGTAATAAACCTGCAATACCGGTAATTTATGCATATTTTGATGGTAGTAGTACCAAACACAAACACTTGTGTGACCTGGACACATGACATGTGCATGTTCTAGTTGGGGGCAATGATTTCATACACCTTTCAAATAAGATTAAAAAGAATTAATTTTTGTCGTAGTGGTGTCAAAACATCACTTGGGATTTGAAAGATTTTTGGTTATTTCCTCACTTAATAATATGTTTTTACACATTTGATGATGGTCAATTTTGGTAAAGTAAGGGTGTCTTAATGCCATATTTCCCACTGAAAGATTGGCATTTGGACATTGCATTATTTAAAATAACCTTAAGTTCAAAATTAAATCATTTGATTTTTTTTTGCAGATGTTTGGTTCATGACTTTCACTCAGTCAATACGCATGGTTTTTCACTGATTGAAAAATCACCTATTCTGAGTACATACTCTGGGGATTACCCGGTACCTTGTAACCATAGCAGCAAAACGTAAGACTAGAAAACACATGGAATGAAACTAATCAAGTTTGACAATATAATGTTCTTTATTTTGTTCTAGGTGTATTCCACAGACAACAGTGCTATGTTGTATAATCTAACAGACCAGGAAATACTGGATTCCAGTCTACCTTGCACAAGTATACACTTTCGTCCACATCAGAATGAGGACAAAAGCAAGAATCTCCTTATGGCGACTTGTAAGTTATATTGTATACAAATAGCAATAGATTAGTGAATTAATATTGCAGATTTTTCCTTGGAATTTTATTAAGGTTTAATCGTAAAATAAAATCAAATAAAAATACTTTTTTTTCCTCTTCTTCTAATGTTTTGCATTCACACATTTGTAATTTATAACTATTAGTGACAATAAATACATGCATGTTAACTTAAATTGTGTTTTTCAGTTGAAAAATAATTATAGAATTATAGCTGAAGTACACAAAATATGGGAAGCCTTTAAAAATAAGCCTTTAAAAATAGTGTTTCGATTTGGTAGTTAGATGCATGAATGTAGCATTATTCGACAGCCAAACATTGAGACAAATCAGGTTGCACTCTTTATAATTTTAACCAAAATGTGATCACATTGTAACATTTCGTTTAATTAGCGTCTTTACTACAAACTACATGGACAAGAAAGCCTGACCGTGCCCGCCGTCCGTGTCAGTGTTTCAGATTCCGATGTAATATTGGTTATGGCAAACTATAATTGTCACAACAGACCCTACCAGAAGGGAACGTCCCTCAGCGATGATTTATCTCAAATAATCATAAAGGAAATCGTGGAGAGTGGTGGTAGTATGAATACCAGCTAGGTACCAAGAGCAGTGTTCCCTGCAGTAGGGCGTAAGTTTTCAATAACCGCGGCCGGGGTCCGAAAGTATGGCTGAGATACGTAGGAACAAGTTCGACAAAACCATCAGTCTTGAATAGGGGGAGACCCACCAAATTACTGCATGGAGATTTAAAATTTCTTGAACCTCTTAAAGCAGATAGGCCATCAAGCACTTATCGTGAGATGCAGGAGAGACTTCAAGAAGTATCGGCAACAAATGTGTGTGTGTTTACGCTTTTCAACGCCGTTCACCACAGATTTACAGGTAGAGACTGGACATGGAAGAGATTAAATACTCCAGCCACAGAAAGATTCACCGAATGAAATATGATTTACACTCGAGAATTTATTGATGAAATGCATGTTGTAGATTCGCATCGTTTAAAATACATGGATGAAAGTGGCTTCGATGTTTCGGTTGCTAATCCTAAATACGGACATTTGTTAATTGGGACTCCGTGTATTGAAATCTTGGAACATTACGAATCAGTCGATGTGTATTATTAGGCTGTGTAGTTGTGTGAGTAATATTCGCTGTGTGCTGTTCAGTGCTAGGAATACAAGTGAATTTGGCGGAAAGTGTTGATTGTACCAAGGTACTGTCACAATGTAGCAATATGTATGAGTGCTGTAATATGTTGCAATAAATAAGGCAGTTATGGTGATATGTAGCAATAGCCTATACTTCATTCTGTATACTGCCTCATACTTAATCGAAACACTATTTTTAAAACCCCTGTAATTTGTGAATGATATTTTAGTTTGCACGAATACCTGTATTTAAAAGCTACAGTTTTGTTGGTGCTAATGCTTAATAATGTACATGTGTTTCAATCAGTGCAGGTGAGCTGACAGGCAAAATCATTGGAATCCTTATAATTCTAATAATATTAGTTCAATTTGGTAAATTTTCGAATAATTGTTTCCCAGCTTCATGCCTTAACAAATTATGCATGACAACATATTGTATCTGACAGCGTATTTTGTTGTTGTCATAACTTATTAAAACTACCAGGGTGTAAAAAATAGGCTGTAATTGAAAAAAGGTGCTTTTTAGATCAACAACATGTTTTGACTGATTGACTGCACCAGCACAATGCGAAATGGCAACAATTTTTTTGTTATCAAAAAGCGATACCTGAATGGTAGCAGCTACAATGTAGTCTCCAGGTGTGTATGTATTCAACTTGAACTTGGCATGGAGACCAAGGACGGTGTGTTGAATATCACAGTGTAACTGAATCTTTGTGTTCCTGTTTGAACTTATTACCTCGTAGCCATTTTGTTGTACTGGTGTTTTTCTCAGATACGTGTATGATTTGGCAGGATTTATTCAACTCTTAGTTAATACACAATATTATTCTGACTATTGATCAATGATGATGTCACCACACAAGACAATATGCCATTACCAGTGCCAATTACCATTCTGGTTTAAAATGACTGACTGGTTCCCAATTTGTGTCATATTTGCTGCACCATATTCATGTTCAGAATGGGTTACATGTGATGTATGCAACACATGCAAGAAATATATCATGTAAAGATACACTGAGCAATGACTGACACTTCAACATCATGCCATTGCTACATACACAGGGATTCAGCCAATTATGATACTGTTATTTGTGAAATTATTATTATTATGTCTATCATGTCACTTGGGATCGACCCACAGGTCCTATTGAATATGACATGGTTCCTGGTTAATCATTGTCCTGGTACTTATTTGCAATGCTTTATGCTGTTTTTGAACCATACATTGGTCGTTTTATTTTATTGAAAGTTGGCAGAAGGCTATATATTGAAGTTCATCAATGTTTAATACCTTTTGATAGTGACATTAAAAACAGGGTTTCAATTTATAGCATTCCAGTTATTGTACTAACTCCCTGTAAATGTTCATTCATGTATTATTGCACTGTTAAAATTATCTGAGTTAGAATGCAATATCAGCTGTGTTAGTTCTTCTACTGTGTTGGTTTTATACTCGCCCATCCAATACTTCACACATTGTCAATGTTTCCACAGATGGACTATTTTTTGGTTGCAAAAAATGTGGTCAATTTATGAGTCACAGAAAATATGTAGTTCAATTCCAAAAATAAAATTCTGCCATTTCTTTTTCAAACCATAATATGGGGAGGGGTCTGATATTAAAAACTTCAGAATGCTCAAAAATATGTAAATCAGGTGTTACTTCCCTTATGGAATGAGATACTAATGTATTCACGCAACAACAAAGTGCTATTACAATCACATAAACAAACATACCTACAAAAAATAAGATCTTGAAATGCCATGACTTTTTAAAATATCTTTGGACATCACAGTTGTATAATAAATTAAATTCAGAATAAAACTTGTCTGTTTTTTTTAATGCACCTAAAAATTAGAGACTATAAAAAAAAATATTTGCCAGCAAGTTTAGTCGCATGTTTTCAAAATGGCAACTTTGCTCAGAAGGAACGAGTCATGGGTTAATGTTCAGTTGTTTGGTATATTTCTTTTTCAAGTTTCAAATACTTTCAATCACAGCTGATTGCATTATATAGCTACATGTAACTCAGCGTCTATAGCATGTCTTTTAGGTTGAACATTTCATTCTTTTTTGTTTTGTTCAATAGATGCATCTGGTATGGTGAAATTATGGCATACAGCTACAAGTACATGTTTACATACAACTCATGAACCAAGACAGTCATTGAATTTAGCATTTAATAACCAAGTCAGTACCTATATCACAAGTGGGTCTGATGAGAAAATCTACATTTATGACGAACCAACACGAAAACTAATAATGACATGTGAACCAAGGTATATAGCAAATATATTAACTGCAGGGGTTGAATTCAAAGTTTCTTGTCCATTTTACTGGTCGGAGAATAAACATGCTTATACCAATTAATGATCTTCCTATTCCTGGCAAAATAAATTATAACATATTTTAAGATAAAATGTTCATTCATGGCGAAAAAAGTCTAAAATCTTAAGCAATTTTCTTTACACATTAGTAAGTTTGAACTATTCTATTTGATCAGTTAGTAAAAAAACCTTTATATCTTTATTCACCTGTCAATGGGGACAGGCAATTTGTACATTTATATGTCCAGGTGGACAGTCTTTAATTTTGACTCCTGAATTTTAAAATAAACTTTCAAGTTCAAATTGAATTCAAGAGTATCTGTCATTTTCCTAATTTTTTCAGTACTGTATTAAAGCCTCAGGATACTGAAAATAAACTGAAAGATTTTTTTCATATCCTGCAATTTTGCTTAAAACATGAACTAAAAAAGTTGTGTTTTGTGAAATCGTAATATTGCTACAAATTTTTATTTGATCTGGTGAGAGTAGAACATAAAATTCAGAGCTTGATGTACAATAATATGTTTTATTTACTGGTTGTTAAAATTCTAAAGGTGCTTCTTATGAAAAATTATTACTCTAAAAAACATAGAACAGTTGCTGCTGTTTGAAGAAAATCCTCTTGCTTGGCTGTTTGATTGATGTGTTGTCCTGTTCAATACTAGTCTTTCTCCTTGGGAGTAGTGCTTGTCAGGTTGTGTTATCAATCACTATGCAAAAACTCATCAGCAATTGTCACTGCTAAGTTACACAAATAATGTCTTAATCAGTAAACCTAAGCTAAGCAGTCTCTTGGTCCTCGCTGTCAATGCAACACAATTGGGTAGTTCTTGATTCTTATCATGAATGATCAGAAATTCAGTTCAACATACTTATTCTTTTTCAGTCCTTCAAAGAATGTAATGGATGGCCACAGGGCCCGTGTGTTTGCTATACAGTTCCATGCCCAAGACAGGCATGAGTTTGTATCTGGTGGCTGGGATGACACTGTACAATTTTGGGACACAAGAGTACAACATTCTGTGAGGTAAGAATGGATGGCCACAGAGCTATCTGAGACTGTAACTAAACATGTTTAAAAATTACATGTATTGTTAGTTAATATTAGGCCATTTTGGACTAAAACCCGAAATATTTTGGTATATTATCAATATTGTTTTTAATTGCAGTTCATAATACACAAATTAGCCAGGGTCCAATAACAGTTGTACATGCGTACATACATGCATGACATTCTCTGAATGAGTTCTGTGCTTTTATCTATTCTCTTTTAATAGGAAACTTTATGGTCCTCACATTTGTGGTGATGCTTTAGACATAGATTTTCAGCATAATCACATTATCACAGGATCGTGGCGAAAAGAGTTTAATTTGCAAATTTGGGATTATGCTTCTGGGAATCTGATTAAGAATGTTCCTGCAGATTTCACAAGTTCACTGGTATGTACATGTTAATATAATGTGTCAGTTGTTTATATATTTTTTTTTTATAAAATCCTTTTTGTGCAAGGAGACATCAATACTGTGGCAGGATGCATTTAATCATTTCACCTAATCTATATTAAAGCAGCAACCTTAGTTAACCGTGGAAACAAAAGTGTATGGTGTTTCTGACATAGAGGGTGCTATAACCAATGATTTGATTGTTGCTATTGTCAAATTGATATGTCAGTATTCTTGCGGAAAATTTGTATCATCAGTGTTTTTAGTAACAAACTACTGTTGTTGAAATTTTATTTTCAGTTCAGTTTGTTAGTCTTGCTATCTATACATGTTGTAATAACCATAGACCTTATATACATGTAATTTTATGTCTATTTTATAATGTGCAGTATACAACTCATGATGGCGCTATGCTCCAATATTCACATTGGTTGTATAAAAATTTATTTCAGTTACCAAAAAACAATAAATCATGAATAGTTTTAATTGTAATTTTTTTTTATGAATGCCAGGTAGTGTAGCAACAATTAATTAATTATTGCTTTTATACCAAAAATACATTAACTGATAATATCACCTTTGTATTGGTGGGAAGTATGCTTGAGATAGTACAATTTATAGTATACTTTACAGTATACATCTTTCACCTACTTATAGTAATAATTTAATGAGTGATAACAGCCCACAATGTGTTGTGCTGTGCGAATGTTTGCGTTTAATGACAGGATCTATTTCCTTTGTGCATTATAGTGTTTCTGCGAGACATAAACACAATGTTCAAAATAAGGAAGGCATTCAAATGTGTCCATAACACATTTGTCTGGCGTTTTATGGACAGATAAATTCTATTGTTTCTGGTGTCAGATGTATAATAATGAGTTATATTGTAATTTGCTGATGTTTCAAATCTCCATCCATGCTGTATGTTTATATATTTTCAGTTGTACTGCTCTCAGTGGTTAGGTAAGGATCACATCTCTGTTGGAGGAAGTGACAATAACATGGCAAGAGTCATTGATCGGGGAACACTGCAGGTATGGATTAGTTAACACCTTTAGAAAGCCATCTTATGCTATTATCAACAAGAATTACGTTAGCTGTCTCCAATAATACTTTGCAAAATCACAAAATTTGGTATTAACTTATTGAATGCACAATTGTCCCCACTTTATTTTTGCCAACAATTATGCATTCCATGTCGAAATTAAAGTTTTGAAAAAATATAAAATTAAAGTACATAGCAGTATTTTGTTTTTGTAATTGACCATAATGCCTGATTTAGGGGGGATGATATTTTAAAACAATACAAACACAACTTCTTTTCTGATTTGGTTAGTGCCTTTTCTTTGCCTAATCTAATTGTCATAAATTTTCTACCCAATTTGTAGACAACTGGTAGAATTTTGGATCTACCTGGAGGAGTCTACACTATTGACAACGATCGCCGTGGTGCTCATCCTAAACTGGCTGTTGGTTCAGCTAGAAATATCTACATTCTAGAGAAGAAATAACCAAGCAACAGGATAATGAAACCTACATATTGTATATATATATCTGTTACACCCTTTCCTGTATGCACTGCACCATATTTTAACCATACTGAGCTTTAGACCATACATAGATTTCATTATATTCTCCATGACATGTCATTACATTTACATATATAAACAATTTACCACATATGTAATGGGTAATTGGACTTTCAACCCTGATAATAAGGTCATAAGATTTATTTATGTCGTGAAGTTTGTATGTTGGCCAACTTGAGGTATTATCGTACTGGAGCAGCATGCTTTGACAGAATATATATTTCACCTGATAATGCTAAGAAAGGAGTCATATTGTGAACTCTTGTTTGCTCGTAAGACATCAAAACCTTGTTATATTTCCAAGACTATGATGAGCCTGAAAAATTAAAATTGGTTTCTTTTCTGATGAAATACCTCAATTATGATATTGAATAGCAACAGAATGACAGACATCTATTATCTCCTGAATTAGGCATACAGATGTACAAATTACACAAATATTTCAAGTTGAAAAATATGGTTTCTGACTTGCGTACCGGTAGGTGTGTATTTGTAGTGATTTGTATACACCCAGTCATCTATAGTAATAGTTGTTGTAATGTATGAAACTGAATATTCCTTAAAATTCCTGATTGTATATACATATCATATATCTATATTATAAATATGATTTAATGCTGCATGTTATTGGTTTATCATTAGCATATTAACTAATTCAAGATGTACTGTCACATATCAATGTGTTGTTGTCTTTAAACACTTTCAAAGGATTGCCTTCCCCTCAAGTCAAACTTTAGTGCAAATGTTTGCTTGCTTTTTGTAATTTTCAAAAATTTTTAATCTGAGAAAGACTGCTTTGACAGAGGTAGTAAAAGGGTTAAAGGTATAACACTTATAATTACTGGTCATAATACCACCTACCTGAATTAATGTTACAATCTTGCTGAGATTCCATTGCTCAGATATTTTGTGTAGCAAAATTTAAGTAGCGTGAATGAAAGTGTTCATTTGGAAAGCGCGATGTCGCACTTTTGTTCACATTACACTATGCACTATGTGAAATTTCCAACGTACTTCATACCACAACTTTTGGCAATTGTCATTGGTATAATAGTGCTCTAACCTGCTTACTGAATGATATATGGTACAATAGGGGATTTTCCGTACAATTGCAAGATCTCGCGAGATGCATGAAAGACGCGCGTTGAACGTCTGTCGCAAAAATAGAACGATTTGATTTTGAACTCGAATTTCCTTATTTCGTAGCTCACACCGACCGGCCGATCTTCGACAGAGGAATATTGCTTCCGAATACCCTTACTTAATCGAAATTGCCTATCATCAAATGTGGACAGCACACTATTAAGCATGGAAATGTCCCCAAAATACTTTCACGTTTGTCGAATCCCACGCGATGTTTGACGCCACTACGACGCTATGACCTTTGTTTGTCCTGTTTTTACATTCGATTTCATGCATAACGCGTGATTCTCGCAGTGTACGGAAAATGGTCTATTGGTGGAACACCTGCAATTCATGAGAAATGTGGTACAAATTATCAGATGGTTTCTTCACATAACCAGAGCACATTGTACCGGTACATGGTTAGTTTCATAACCATTCTGTGACCATGGTTTATCTAATCCCTCTGTAAATCAAGTTTAATATTGGTTAAAATAGTTGTTTTGGAGTTAACCCCGGTACTCTGCATTCTTGAAATTTGCATTGATTTATGACAGTACAACTAAGCCAATTTATTTATAAATTAATTCAAAAAAAATATTGTTTTTGTATACTGATAAGTTATATTTTAAATGTAAAATACCATGAATCTGAAGTATATTATATAATAATATTGTAAAATATGTTGTAAAATATGTCTTCAGATGTATATCGAATTTGGCAAAATGTCTATTTTTGCAAACATCAAATAAAAAAAAACATTCTCCTTATTCTTGCATTAAGCAATATTTGCTTAAAGAGAGCATGTCGTATTTTACACTGATAAACAATAATATACTTTTAGCTAAAATTGGTTGAAGTTTATTTTGCTGTGAATAAATGGCAGATGACAACAATTATGCACTGAAGTGTAACGATTGTAGTCCCTGCAGCGTTTTAAACTGCAGACTTGTATCTCCTGCCAGTAATATGTACTATTATAATAGTATTTTTTTAGTTATATTCATTTTTTTGCTGTTGCGTTTTTGAAGCCATATTCTATGTTTATGTAACTCTCACTTTTAATCCCCATAATCTTCTTCTTTTTAACAAATAGTGTCTAAATTTAGTTTTGTATTCTATCACAGACCTTCTAAAGTCTATGATTCTATAGAATCTCACATTTAGACATAGCAGTTGATCCAACTTATTGATAACATCAAATAAAGATATCCCAAAACGTTTGGAAGCTTTGTTTTCATGGATGTTATTGTCATGGTAACAAGTCTAATGTGGTTAGAGAATCACTGACCCCAATTACATAACCATCAGAATTATTGTTTGAGGTTGTTATATGACATACTGTCCATCACAATTTTATGTAACTGTTTTTGTTATAAATGCTATCGGGAAGATGTTAATGCCGTCCAACAATTACGTCACACTCTGAGATGATACTTTCTAGATTTATTGTTTTTGTACTATTATTTGACATACTGTAAACTGCATTTATAATAAGAGATTTTCATGAAGTTTGCGAGTCAGTGAAATTGGCAACATTTTATAGCAGTGAACTTTTCACTGAAGTCCTAAAGATAGTCACAGTAACTTTCACAAAGTTGTCTTCCCAAACACTATTAAATTTCAAAGTCACAGTAATTTCAGTTTACAGTATTTGATGGTGTGAATATGTGTGAATTGCACAAAAAATTGAGTTTAGACCTTAGTAAATTATCTCATGGCATCCTTTAACGTTGTCCATTAACTATCTGTTTAAAGTTGTTAAACTGTGATTCTGAAACTCGCTTGGATTTAACGATCTGGTTCTCAAGAAATTAAGGCTGTGTGACGTGTTTTGATCACTGTTTTAATTAACATTGTTGAAATACATGACATCATTTCTTCTGTTAGTAATTCCGTCCATCATCCAGCAATATATACTTCATGAATATCATCAGTCTTCTCACCCGGTGTCTAAATAATATGCAACACTCTTAAATTACCAACAATTCAATGAGAACCATTGTAATTATTACTGTACTTTGTTGTGTTGTAATAAAACTACACCTTAATATCAACAATTGTTTATTCTATGTTTAATGATTATTTTTGAATATTATTAGCTGACACAGATGGTTGTATTCATTCATATACCCACACTGCAACCATGCATCATCAGGTTATTTTGGATGATTACCAAATCTATTATAGATCAGAAAACTTTCTCAACAAATGAAACAATTTTGCAGCTAATTCAATGCAAAAGACAATGATAAAGTATCATTTCATAACAAATGTTAATCAGCCATGAAATGCACAACTTATAACTAATAAATCAATAGTACAAATAATTACATGTAATACAGGATTCAAACAATAAATTTGTTGAGGAGTTAAAAAACAAAAACAAATTAGACTGTTGTTTATGAGGCATTGAGTACTATGGAAAATCAATCCTCATGGGCCAAGACAATGCAAGAAATTACTGGTAGGTAACTTTTGGAATGGGAATGAAAATAACATTCAAGAAATTTGTTAACATGTAGAAACTGACTACGAGTCAAATGGAAAAAAAGGATAAATACAGATTGGACCATATAGCTGGACAGAATAAACTTAGAACATAAATTATTCAAAATGGAATTTTAATTGGAGGAGTATATAAATAATATTACATGTAAAGATGGTGGAATAAGAAAACGAATATGCAAACTAGGTTACCATCCCTTAATGATTGAGAAAGGTAGGTATATAAGGCCAAAGCTTAAAGTTGAACACAGTATCTGTACAAGATGCAACACAAACTCAATTGAGGATGAATTCCATTATGTTATGAATTACTTGTACACTGATCTTTATTAATTAATTTATTAATAATAACTTTATTGCACAACTAAATCATCAGAGGATTTAGTAAGGTAAAGAGAATAACAAGACATAAATAAACAAATGTAATAAAAACAAACAATAAAACTGAACAAATAAAGACTAAAGAAATATAAAAACAATAACTTCAATATTCTCGCAACTATAATCAGGGGATTTATAAATAGTATCTTTAAGGTATAGTGAAAGGGCTTTTGCATTTTTCATTACTTCAAGAAAAATATCTTCTGGTACCCGGTAAATTAGACTTGATTTCACAATCTTCAAAATGTCGTTTTATTGATATGTGTATCCATGTATTAGGATATTGATGTTAGTACAATAAAGTTGCAACACACAATAAGAAATCGGCTCAATATTAGTTTATAATTGCAAAGCATCAATTATAGAAGCAGATTTGTTTGCACACCAATGGCACTTTCGTGGCTGACCTCTCTAGCATGATGACGGACACTCTAAAAATAGAAACGTGACGTGAGACGCTGTGATTGGTCCACGAATATAAAACTGCGTACTTGACAGAATCTTTCAGGAGAGCTTTAATATCGTGCTTTGCGAAGGTAAGCAAAATTTGTGTCATGTTTATTGTTATAATTTGTGACCCCAAGGCTATACACACCTGAAGATCATATTATAAAATATTGTTAGGTAATGCTATATTAAGCAGTTTCGTGGTACCGCAGTGCAAAGTCTAAGGTGTCACGGGAAAAACTGTCTATGTGCTTTCGTGGTTACACATGTAATGGATTTGGTCCCCATATACAATACAATGTTGCCAACAAGTACAGTTATTGCATATGACTCCACGTATGATCAGTAGTTGAATTCGAGTTTGGATTGAGTAAACGCTCTTTGCTATACAAGATGGCCGTCGCCCTTAATACACGGAAATTGTTAGGTTTATATTCTTCCTGGTCCCTACTTTTTATGACAATTCAAAACATTTGAGCAGGGAAGAGAACTCGCAGTGTCCTGAATCAAATGTATTATCGACAGAGTCGATTACCGAACGAATCCCCGATGTTAAAAAAAAAGTGGGCGTGTCGATCAAGTTGTGTTTGTGTAATTGTATTTGTTGCTAAGCACTAAACGGAGCATTGGAATATGATGACATTATGTGAAACGTTGGCAAAAATTACATTGCTGACCATGACAGCGAGAGTGCAGTATCAGCGGTTTCTACAAGGCTTGCACAATATTTCATGATGTGAGCATGAGTCATCAGGTGACTGGCCCTATATAACAGCTGTAGTTCAAAGAGAAAAATACACTTGTCTTGGCTGGTCCTGCGTTTTAAATGACTGTTCTACTGTGATGATGGTATCGTAGTCATTATTTTATCAGCATTTAAGAAGCCTGTGCTACTATACTTACTTTCCAGTTATCAGCGTCTTTCTTCAGCACGTATATTTAATTTGTCACTGTAAGTTGGCCGACTATTGTCTCTGTCAAGCATCTAAAAGTTTGTGGTCAAATTATTAATTGATTTTGTTTTTCGCTTGTAAAGATTGAGACGCTAATATATTATTTCTTTTTCACAGATTATATTGAAAGCAATAATCTGCCATTATGGATCGTCGACAAGTACGACCAAGCTCTGATGAGAATATTATCAGGATTCCTCCATTTTACTACATTCATGTATTGGATCAAAATTCAAATGTCACAAGAGTGGAAGTGGGTCCTAAGACCTACATACGCCAAGATAATGAAAGGTAATTTCTAACTTTAAATATAGAAGTAGATGTTCTGAAGCTGATTATATTTACATTTCCATGTTTTAAGGTTCTAAAATAGTGAATCAAGCTGTAGAAATTCTATTCCAAAAGATGCTGTGTCATAGTACCACCTGTTAGTGAATCAAGGTAGTGTTTATGCAAGCATGTTAAAATACAGAATTATACACCAGGACTCAATGACAGGGTTATCAATACTATTTGTTTTGAGGTTATTTCCTCATATTTTGTATGAACATCTATGGTGCATCTTTTTAATTTAATAAGGAAATTCAGATTGAGATCTTAGGATTTTTAATTTATTTTGAAAACAAATTTTACATTAAGTCAAATCACAGGGAGTCCATGAACTATAATAAAATGTACACCAAGTCTTGTTTTTTTAATTTATTCTATTAATATTGGTAAAGGAGAGGTATTGGCAAAATTTGAGAAAGCAACTAATATTCTTCAAACTGGTATTTTTTATAAATTAGATTTGGCTTTTCGTTCATCTGTTTTTTTCAGTTTAAAAAATGTGGGATTCCTGGAACCTTCATCCCTTAACTATTTTTATACACTAGCTCCAGCCAATACACCCCATACAGACTACAGTTTATTATAGTTCCTGGGCTCCCCTTTAGACAACTCCCCTTATCAATCATGCATAAAAAACAAAATCTTAATTTACAGTATGCTAGCTGACTATTGGTAAAGTGAAAGTAGGTATGTGGACGCTTGTTGAGACACATGACCTATATCAACAATCGATTTGCATATGAATATACAAATGTACAATGGCTGGCTAAAAAGAATGGAAGTGTTTTGATGAATGGAGAAAACATTTGCAATAAAAAAAAAGAAATGTTGGCTATTAGTCTTTTGAGTATCTTCATAGTTTTATTTTTACAAATTTGTTTTAAACCCCCTTCAAATACTGGGAGAAAAATAACACATGATTCTATAACATCTCTTGATTTTTAATTCAAACGCAGGATTTTTTACACATCCAGTGATCTATTCATGGATCTAGTTCTGATATAAATGCATGGTTATATATATCTTTGATAATCCCAAGGTCTGTAATAAATCATATGTATGCATAGCTAAGAGAAACATATTTTGCTTGAAACCATTTTGAGGAGAGGAATTTACAGTAGAAGTAGAAAGCATATATATTTAACAAATGTTTGCGTATTTACTCTTTTACAAATTCATCTCCCTTATGTAAATTAAAATAAAATTAGAGTTATTTTTTTCAGCTTGTCTCAAATTAATATATAGTGTTTCCTTCCATATAAATGGTTCTATTTAGACAAATTTACTGAAATGTTCGTTTTGTAAAAATGACAGCTTGATTTTTTAAGTGTCTTAGAACAATCTGTGATGTTCATAATCAATGTATTGTCTTGATTTTCATGTAGAATCATTTATGGTCCTGAGAAAATGGTCACAGTGCCACCACGTCATTACTGTATTATAGAAAACCCAGCAGTTAGAGGAGACGATGGTACAGTCAAGTTTGATGTTAGTGGTCAGGTCAAACTCAACCATGCTGATCAGGATATCAGACTAGCTCAAGAACCATTCCCTCTGTTTCCTGGAGAAGTTTTAAAGCAGGTCGTGAGCCCTTTGAAAGTTGTTACAGCAAACACTGCTCTTAGACTGAGATCCATTCTGGATTTTGAAGATGACATTGGTTCGAAGAGAGTTGCTGGGGATGAGTGGTTATTTGAAGGACCAGGTCAGTTATTTTATTCATCATGTAAGAGGGAATTCTTCTCAAATATGTACTGCTAGACTAGTGTTTTCGCTGTCTTCTTATGGATTCACCTCTGTGCATCAATCCATCTATGCATACATCTCCTCTATTACCTTAACATTCAAATTCAACACATACGTACATTATACATTTCGGGGTACATATGCTCGTCCATTTGTTTAATAATTTGACTCAAGATTGTTAAATGGCTGCCATGTTCATGCTAACAATTCATCAAAATCAAGTATTTCTTTTTTTTTTTTTGAAGTGAATCAAATTTGTGTATGTGTGATTTCTTTTAAACTTAGTTCATACATACAATATTGGGAGTTATGCATGTGTTTTGTTTCAAAAATCTGATTTAAAGAGGCTGATTGGTGGCAATTTTGTTTTAATGAATGCTGTCTCGAAACCATATTTCAGACAAGCTTTGATTGATCATTGAAAACTATGTATGCACATGTATTTCACATTCTGTTTCAGAATATGGTGGCTATTTTAATGGAAAAATTCATCAAAATTGAGCATTTTTGATCATATTTCATAAAGGATAGGATATTTTATTTGGAATGCAACAATACAGGTTGTGTAAAGTTCAGTAAAATGGAATACAAACAAATAAACTAAAACAATGTTAAAATGTTAACAAGCTGTGCTAAATAGTTAGGAATAAAATGATCATACGTTGAACACATAAAAGAATGAAACCTTCATCATGCATTTTGTTTTTCCAAATCAAATTTTAAAATGCCAACTGACAAACATTTTGTATTAATGAATGCTGTTCCAGAACCAAATCTCTGACAATCCTTGATTGTTTGCAGGCAAAAATTTACAATGGCATTATATATCATGTCACATATTGATATGGCTGACTTATTTCAGTTTTCTTTACTATTGAACATCGGGGCACTCTCATTACATGACATGGCATGTTTAATTAAACTTCTGCATGATGTTCAATCTTATATAGATTTACTATGCAAATTTTTTACCCTTAGATTTCTATGTCTAGTATGTCTAACCATCAACATATTTAGGATTTGAATGAAGTCTGAATTTCTAGCACTTTAAATGAGTTTTGTTGTATTCATGATCTGTTGCTGTTTTTGATAATTTAGGAACATATATCCCTAAAAAGGAAGTTGTGGTGGAGGAGACCATCAGAGCTACAGTAATAAAACCAAATCAAGCGATAAAACTACGTGCCAGAAAAGAGACGCTTGACAGGGATGGTAACCCACGCGTGACTGGTGAAGAATGGCTGGTCAGAAAGATAGGTGCCTATTTACCTGGTGCCTATGAGGAAGTGGTGGATATTGTTGATGCATACGTGCTTACTGATAAGGTACATATACCTATGGTATATTGTTTCAGGGTTGAACAAATACAGGTTAAGTCCTTGAATGCAAAAGTTATATTTTGTTTTATTTCACAAATTTTTCATAATATTTCCAGATATTTTTAAAAATATTTTATTTAGCCCTTTATCGAATGAGAAATTATCTCCAATTGGTCCATTATTATTGACAAATTTAGAAATATGGGAAATCAAAATTTGATCGGTAAAATAACCATACTCTGGGTAAAGGAAGAAGGGAGTGGAAAATTGGGCATGGTTTATTTGTGTATTTTTTTCTGCAATTTTATGAAATTATTATACAAACTATGAATTGATATTATCCTGTTTATGGAAAGGTTGCCTGAATAGTAAATTGATTTCTTTGATACTTTGGGATTTTGGATAATGTCAACATGAACACAACAAACCTGTACGTAATTTCTTCATTTACCATTCCAATTCTGTAAATGAAAGTTTAAAAAAAAAGATGCTAAAATACTCACTTTCAACCTTCTGCCCTGTAAACGAAGAATTCAAGTTCACTGTGCGCATGCTTTCACTTTCCATGCCCATTACATTTGTCACTGTACTGGCTTGTGGCAACCAGCCTAAACAATTTGATGGCCCAAATTAATATTTTAATAGTCAGCCCTTAGAATTGACTGTGAATCAAATATGGCAATCAAGTTCAAGATTTATTATTATGACACACCATCACTATGTGATATTGCCAATTTAGCTTGTTTTACATTTTCTGTTATCAATTTGACTTCAAAATAGTATGCAGATTCAAGGTCAATGACATGCAATGAAGCTAATATTAATATTGTCTGATAGTGCATAACAAAAACTTAATCTAACACTCAAATATGGATATATATATATATATTTATATATGTTAAAATCAATGATACATGCACGATACAATATGGCAATAACAAATTCTTCATAATTTTCAGAAAGCACTTCACATGAGGGCAACACGAACCTTCAAAGATGACAGTGGAAAGCTTCGTAGAAATGGTGAAGAATGGTTAGTGAAAGTGGAGGATGCAGAGACGTACATTGCCAATGTATATGAGGAGGTTGTTGGTGTTGTACCCATCACTACGCTAACTAACAGACAATACTGCGTGATATTGGACCCCTCAGGTCCCGACGGCAAGCCACAACTCGGACAGAAAAAACTTGTCAAGGTGAGTATTATAATTTCAAATAAAATTTAAGCTGAGACTGATCAAAAATGATAAGTTGAAGCATTGAAGGCAGATCACACAACCCAGCAAGTTTGATTGACATTTTATTGGCATATTGAAACATAATAATTCAATTTTATCTGTTCACCATTTATTGGATCTCGTATACGATTATTCATCAGCTATTTATAGAGTTTGTTGTTTATTGTGGTAATTGTTTTCCCTGATGAATCTAGTGTACGGTATTACTGTAAAATACTGTATTTTAGCTGGGATTAATTTTCGCTGAAAAGATTATTTTGGGTGTTTTGTATGGAATTTATTTTCACTGATATCTGACAAATATATTCACTGGATTTTATCATTCCTTCAGTGAAAAAAGCAAAAATTAATTCCAAGCGAAAATAAAGTATTTTACAGTACCATAGCAATGCTTTTCATTTCTAGGGAGAAAAATCGTTTTTCTTACAACCTGGTGAAAAATTAGAAAAAGGTACTCAGAATGTGTACGTACTTGGAGAAGATGAAGGTCTTATTCTTAGAGCCACTGAAGCCTTCAAAGATGAGGTAAATATAATGCTGTCTGTTTACACTTTGCAGTAGCAATTTAGATGTAAAGTTTGGAGTGACAACAGTAACATTCAATGTTTATACACCTAGCACAGACAAATAAAAAAAACATGTATTATCTGTAAACATTATTAGGGAGGTATAAATATCATGATTAATTGACTCTACATAAGTGATCTATTTTATCATGTTTTTCATATATTAACATTGTTGTAGCTTCCTAGTGTAAGTCACAATACATATCATGATAAAACCTGTACTTTATCTCTGCTAACTGGGGTGAATACCTTGTGCTTTACAGGGCACTGATAGAAGACCTGGTGATCGTTGGATGATCCGTGGCCCAACTGAGTATGTTCCACCTGTCCAGGTTGATGTGGTGACAAAAAGAAAAGCTATTCCCCTAGATGAAAATGAAGGTATCTATGTGAGAGATACAAAGTCTGGTAAGGTGAGTTAGCAAAGATGTGTACTGAAAAAAAATTGACAAATATTCAGAAGAAGAATTAGAAGTATAGTATATAGTATGGACCAATCTTATAATTGCACAATGTTTAATAAATATGCATTAAAATAATATCCAAAAGAAATTCTTGTGGCCTAGAATAACTGTGAAAAATATTGCTGTGTCATAAATCAATGGAGCAATACAATTTATGCTGAAAAAGAAAACAGTTTTAATTTAAATGATTTTATTCTCCCTGAATTTAAGTCTTATGAAAGCTTTGATTCTGACAATTAGCAACATTAAGGCCAAGTAGATACATTAAAAAATCTATTTTCTAATTTTAGGTGAGAGCTGTGACTGGGGAAACTTACATGCTGACGCAAGATGAGGAACTGTGGGCCAAGGAGTTACCTCCTATTATTGAAAACCTGCTCCAGAGCAATAAGGACCCTTTAGCTGACCGTAGTGATCGTGGCAGTGCATCTGGAGCACAGAAAAGCAGAGAGAAAACGAAAGTAGTTTCATTCCGTGTGCCTCATAATGCAGCCGTACAGATTTATGATTATAAAGACAAGAAAGCTAGGTGAGAACGTCATATGTTTATAGTTCAAGGTGCCTAAAGACGGTGGATTTTATGCGTTTAATATCTGTATTATACATTTTTTCAGCCAAAACTCATTTCATGCCACAATTTTCATTAAATTTGTTGTAGTTGCTCAGTCAACATATGTAAACAACTTTTTGGAATGGACCACATTTGTTACATACTAATGTTGTAAAATGATTCTTGAACAACTGGATTCATCCTTGGAGATAAAAAGTTAGCTCCAATCAGTATAAACACTACTGTAATGTTACAAAAATGAAGGAGGCTGTAATGATAATATACTTGAGACAAGGTGTTTGTTGGATGCAATAAGTTAAGCAAACACAAGTAAATATACTGTCATTAACTTCACTTTTAATAAAGCTAATAATTCTATTTGGTGTTTTTTTCCAGAGTAATATATGGACCAGAGTTGGTCATGCTTGGACCGGATGAGCAGTTTACTCAACTTTCCTTGTCTGGTGGTAAACCTAAAAGACCAAATGTTATCAAATCATTAGTTTTGCTACTTGGACCAGATTTTTGCACTGATATTATCACCATAGAAACAGCTGATCATGCTAGATTACAGTTACAATTGTCTTACAACTGGTAAGTAAATAAAGCTCAACATGATAGTTTTTCTAACTGAAATAAAATGTGTGCAATGCTTTGTTTTTCAGATAAATTTGCATTTTATCTTCATTTTCACTGGGATATTAATATTCAAATCTAGATTTGGTGATTATTTAGTTCATAGTATAAAAGATAGCTGTGTTTCTGAACAACACACTGTAGCAGAAATGGTTTATTGTGTCATACTGCCCTCAGTGTCACATTTTTTATATAACTTTGTTTTTATACCCTGTGATATATTTTAATAGGCATTTCAATATTGATGACAAGAATGATGCTAAGGAAGCTGCCAAATTATTCACCGTACCAGACTTTGTGGGAGATGCTTGTAAAGCCATTGCATCTCGTGTGAGAGGTGCCGTTGCTAGCGTTCAATTTGATGATTTCCATAAGGTGCTTATTACATTATTTACTGTTATATTTGTTGCATAGACCCTTCTCCTCATCCAATGTGGTGATGTTGTAGATGCATTATTGTTTAAATAGGCAGAGCATTCCAACGGATACAATGATTTGCACTAGATTTTTTATATATAGCACAAAACAAGTCGAAAATCACCAGAGCCTAAAGCTGTATGTGATAAAAAATTCTTGTAATTCATTAAAAGACACTATTAGTATCTATCCTGAACTTAATTGCTAATCCTTTGTAACATATTTTTTATCATGCTTCTCACTTTCAGAATTCAGCTAAAATCATCCGTGCTTCAGTCTTTGGGCTGGATGAGAAACAGAAAGTGCGTGACCGTTTTGTATTCCCCCAGAACAACTTGGTAATTACCAGTATTGATATTCAGTCAGTTGAACCAGTTGATCAACGTACCAGAGATGCCTTACAGAAATCTGTTCAGTTGGCAATTGAAATTACCACTAATTCACAGGAAGCCACAGCAAGGTAGGAATGGTCAATCACTTTGTATAAATTTTCCTGTTATGAGGTTGTGATGTTGATTCTATATCTTTTTGAATTGCGTCTACAATTAAAATAGATACACAAAAGAATTTCTTGACCAAATGTTTCATTAAATTTGTGGATAGAAGTTGAATTTGTATGACTAATGCATCAAAAATAAATGCATGTAATTTTTAACTATATTAAATTATGATTCTTCATGACTTGAAAACCTTTTTTTTCGAGCTCACAGTATTTGTTTGATGAAACACTGAAATCCTTTAATATGCATATACTTTGTCTTGGTATGCACATGTGTGTTAATGTGTCCTGCAAATGCAACATTTTTAGTTTATGATAACTATCTATCAAACAGTACTAATATACAATATATATTAATGCCCATATTGCATCTTTAAACAATCTGAGTTATGAATTGGCAGTAGATGGAGAAATGTTGATTAATGATATTTTGACCCAAACTATCATTTAAAAAGACCAAATATTACACAAGATGTTTATAGTTAGAAATGAATTGAAAGTGAGTAATAATAATGATAATGTATATTACTCTAGACATGAAGCAGAGCGTCTTGAGCAAGAGGCAAAAGGTAGACTAGAACGCCAGAAGATTCTAGATGAAGCAGAGGCTGAGAAATCTCGAAGAGAGCTGTTAGAATTGCAAGCTAATAGTGCTGCTGTTGAGAGTACTGGTCAAGCTAAGGCAGAAGCACAGTCTCGTGCTGAGGCTGCCAGAATTGAAGGCGAAGCTGCTGTTCAACAAGCTAAATTGAAAGCAGAAGCAGCCAGAATTGAAGCAGTAAGTTATATTGATTTATGTACAAAGAAACCACAGATTTTCTTTGACAATAATAGTAAAGATATCTATGTTAATGAAATGATATTAAAAGAATAGTGGCATGGAAGTGGTTGTCTATTGCCAACACACTTTAATGAATTTTACCAATGAGACACTCCCAGGTCAAACCATGCAGAAAATCATCATAGTGGAAATTTATCAAGTGTGTGTATAGTCGAATACATTCAACAAAAATAATGAATAAAGTTATTGACTTCTGCTGTTTTCTCCACAGACTTTAATGATTTTTACACCTTAAATTTTGATGGTTTGTAAATAAATAACATTGTAATAAAATGTGGACATTTTTTTAATCCTTTCTGTTTCATCATTGTGATAGTTTTTTGGCAATCAATGATGCAACTTTACCCTATAATCTGGTGCATGGTGACCACAAATTGTGTTTTGAATAATTTTGGGGGGTGCGACTAAGCTGAGTACCTGGACACCAAGTCGGGCGAGTATGATTTATTATGTAATAATATGGTGTTACATTATTTTTACAGGAATCTGAGTTGGAGAGATTAACAAGAGCGCGTGAGGCGGAAACTAAATATCTGAAGGAAAACAACACATTGGAGATTGCTAAATCAAGAGAAGTTTCTGAAATTGAAGTTGAAAAATTCAAAAACATGGTTGGTGCTATTGGAGCTGACACTATCCGTGCTATTGCTGTCTCGGGTCCTGAAATGCAGGTAGGTTGATTTGTTCAGACAGAATACAAAAGGAACTGAGTTGCCCTCTAATGAAACTGAATCTGTACAAATCTCAAGTTAAAATTGAAAATCAATTATCTTGTGTCTTTTTGTTTACTCCTGAAGTAAAATTGGTTGTGAATGTGTAGGCGACTACTGAGACACAAATTTAAATGTTGTATCCTCTGATTTCCTTTATTTTGTTCATAAAATGTGAATTTTGTTTTACCAACAATGAATCTTTATTATTAAATTTATTTGACAGATTTATTTGTACTACCATATATTATTTTGATAATTAATCCATTCACTAAAATCCTCAACATGATTTACAGTAACTGAATTTCTATTAATTTTTTTTTCATATTAGGTAAAACTGTTGCAGTCACTTGGGCTGAAAACAACATTGATCACTGATGGAAACTCCCCAATTAACCTATTCAACACTGCACATGGTCTACTTGGTGCTACTTCAGCACTTCCAAGCTCCGAAAAATTACGTAGTGATTGTATTGACTCTGATGATTAAACATAACAACTCTGCTTAAACAAATCTTGTTATGCAGAAAGACTCAATTCCCTGGCCAGAAGAACTGTTTTTACTTTGATGTCAATATACTCTAGAATTGCCTGCTTGATTGCGGAAACAGAGAAAATATTTTTAGAAAACAAAAAAAGTAGAACAACCTAAATTGTGTGACAGTATTTGTTCATCCAAAATAAACATTAAAAAACACTGAACCTTAAAAAACATTGTGAAACAATAAAGAAAATTATGTTAGGCATGTTAACATGAAATGAAATTAAACTATTAAATGCACTGTAGTATTGCATTCATGTGAAAAACTTCACTTTTTAAAGTTTAACATAGAAATTTTCTGATGGTTTTCTGTAACATTGCAACAGACTAATGGCTGATAAATGTAATATATTTTGTAAAACTAATAATAGAAAAAAAAAATATTAATGCGATATATATGTGTAATTTGTCAAACTAATACCAGGTAATGGAAAAAAAAAAATGAGTGTGCTTTCATATTGATGTTATCACGTGAACCCCTTGGGCATCATAATTTGTTTCTGCCAACATTTTGGTACAACTTTCTGTTATGTAAATTTTTTGATAATTATGGAACAATTCTTGATCAACATTTTGGAAAATATGAAAAAAATTATAAGGGTTTTATTTCATGAAAAGTGACAGAAGTCAAATTTGGCATCCAAGGGGTTAATATAGTAAATAGAGTAAGCTACTTAAAATATTTGATTAATCAATGGACAATTTTTGTATGTTTTTGTTTCACTATTCAGATGACCAGACTAAATTGATTCTTTGGTTTTCTCACATGTCAAATATAGTGTTCATGTTTAGTGGTTTTCTACATAAATGGTCTGTGTCCCGTGGACATACCAGACCCTCATCTCCATCATTTACATAGTTTGCGAGGCGCATACAGTCCAAACACAAACTGTACGTTTCCAAATTCTTTTTTTGTTTAGAATTTCAAGTGCCCTTTTTTCAGTGTTATTTCTGTGTAACTTTAATTGTGGTAACAAGGGCATTTATATTAGTATTTATATACTCAGACTTAGAAATATATTACCATTTTGTATAATTAAGGTGATGAATAAAAATGAGAAGAAAAATATGTGTGCATATTTTATATTAAAATATAGGTAATAATAATAGCTGAACGACTCTCAAATCAGGCCTTATTTATTTTTAGTCCCCAATCGAACATAATCCCAAAATAGTTTTATGCACTGTGTGTACCTACCTTAGGTGCATGCCTGCATGAATGCATCCATGTGTGCATCTCCACCTCTATCTCGTACATGCTCATGTTCATTTACTTTGTGATCGGTTTCAAGATGGACAATGGTAGAAATGTTAATGTTACAAATTCATTGGAATCGAGCATGTTTTGCTTCAATCTGATTAAAATCCGATGTAGGTATGAGGCTACAATTTTTTTTTTTTATCATTTTTTTTTTTTTAATAAAACATTTTATATTATATTTATCTGTATTTTAGTTTGAATATGTTGGTTTTTTGGTTTTTCTTGCCGTTAATCAGTTCTTAGAAAATAGTGTCCCAGTCGTTTTCCCCTTTGTGTGTAGTATTTTTCACAACAAAGAATTAAAACCCTGTGCCACTACGTTGTTGGTTTTGTGGCGGCACCTTTCACAACTGTATTTCGTTTTTTCCCTCATGCATGTCGTCTTTTATTTACAATGTATTTAGCAATGTATAGATGTAATGACAGCACCAGGGCTCGCTGCCGTTTTCTTTTTGGTCTCCTCGTGTTCCGAGTAGACTGTGCAGTGGTTATATTCAGAATTTACCAGCATAGAAGTCGCATCTTGAGATACTTTGTTTTAGCTGCGTGCTGGGTTTGGGGCTTTTGCTTGAAGGTGTGTGTTTTTCACTGGAGTTCTGAGGCCTGAGATTTTTCTTTCAGAGCCATCACAATCGCTGAGACTGACCGCGTCATAGCAAGGTAGCGCGTCCAGTAAACAAATCGGTTAAAGTGAGTTGCGTGTTTGGCATGAGTGGAAGTTCCTCATGCTCGGCTACCGGTGCTTCGTGTACCGGGACGCCGAGTAGGAGGCCCGATGGTGGAGGTACCAATATTTTTCTCGGTCTCCCCCCGCTGATCGGAGGGCATCTTCACAGTCTGTTTTTTAGGCGGTGGTCTACCCGATTTTACCGGCTGCAGTGAGGCTGTGCCCCTGAAGGCTTTCCTTCTATGGGGCCTGTTGCGGGTCTCTTTGTGGACCCTTCCTTTGGTCGAAAGACTGTCGGGGCAATTGCGTCCTGGCAGGCCGGGTGGATCAGACGCTCGGAGCGAGCTGTCTCCACTGCGGCCCCTCGGTGGGCAAGCAGGAAGAAACACGAAAGCATGTTTGCATTCAAACACGTCTCTTCCAGGGAACCCCTGTTCCCAGCCGCGGCTCTCCCACTAATTTTGGGTGAGGCCGAGGCTCAGGCTAATTGCACCAGGCCTCCTCTGGAGCCTCGAGCACTGAATGCCAACGGGGTGCTGGCAGCCAAGCCTCCGATCTCGGGGAAGGGCTTTCAGGGTAGGGCACACGTTGACCCCCCCATTTACAGCCAGCTAGGGTTCGTCACGCGGTAATGGTACAACGGTAACGAATTTATCCTTGTGTTCGGACTCTGCTGTGAGTTTTGACTCCCTTCTTACCGACCCACGGGCGTCCACAGAGGGAAGCGACCTTGTCATGAGACGCACAGTCAAACACGCTCCCTCTCACATATTTAAAGTGAAAGGAGACGAAACTCGCTCGTGTCCGATACAGCCGGTACTCCGGGAGGTCCCTCAGAGTCTTCCATCCATAAGACTCGCTGAGCCATGCTTTTGGCGTTATGTGGAGTATCATCGTTCCCAGTGATACAATGTAAATACCCCCACCCTTGATTCTAAGATGATTACCTAAGGTTGCTTCAATGCTTATGGAATCAAGGGCGTTGGGATCCAAAGCAACCCCGTTGGCACGTCTCTTCTCTCCCTGTCCATCCGAGTGCGGAGTGGGGCGCAGAGCACGCCAACAATGTTGATGGGCGGGCGTTGGTCAGTCGCGGAGGACATACCGCTTAAGGCCCCCAGGTGGGGAAAACATTAGGCAACACTTCCTGCTGGACCAAACGCTACCCGGTCGGTGTGGTTACAGGATCAGACCCCATAGCATGGGATGAGACCAAAATGCCCCCAACCGGATCCCAAGGCTCTTTCCCCAGACCCCAGTACAACGAACGGGGGACAGCCGTGCCCCATGGGCGTTCTTGCCAATCGGAACGGCCCATCCAGTCCTGAGGGGAGAGTTGCTTGAGCACATTATTGTGTGTGCCCAGGACTCTGGA